TAGTGTAGTTCACTATAGAGATGTGTTACACTAGTGTAGTTCACTATAGAGATGTGTTACACTAGTGTAGTTCACTATAGAGAGATGTTACACTAGTGTAGTGCACTATAGAGATGTTACACTAGTGTAGTGCACTGTAGAGATGTGTTACACTAGTGTAGTGCACTATAGAGATGTGTTACACTAGTGTAGTGCACTATAGAGATGTGTTACACTAGTGTAGTGCACTATAGAGATGTTACACTACTGTAGTGCACTATAGAGATGTGTTACACTAGTGTAGTGCACTATAGAGATGTTACACTAGTGTAGTGCACTATAGAGATGTGTTACACTAGTGTAGTGCACTATAGAGATGTGTTACACTACTGTAGTGCACTATAGAGATGTGTTACTGTAGTGTAGTGCACTATAGAGATGTGTTACTGTAGAGCAGTTCACTATAGAAATATGTTAAATTAGTGCAGTTCACTATATAGATGTGTTACAGTAGTGTAGTTCACTATAGAGATGTGTTACTGTAGTGTAGTTCACTATAGAGATGTGTTACACTAGTGTATTATGGAGATGTGTTACTGTAGTGTGTGTTACAGCCCGCCGACACACAGGACAGTCTCAGTGAGGATGAGGAGGATGATGAAGATGCCGAAGCTGCTCTGAAGAAGGAAGTGTCTCAGATACAGTCGTCTATGAAGACGCATCAGCAGAGGTTCAGTGCGGTGGACAGCGGAGCTCATAACGTGGTGTTCATTCGCACTCATGGAGTTGGTGAGAGTCTGATCAGATCATCACGTAACGTGAGCTCCATCTGAGCCTCAGATTCAGATCATAACTCTCTCTTTCTCTCTCTCAGACCCAGAGCAGCTGGTCCATCACATTCTGTCAGACCTCTATCAGACGAAGAAGAAGAAGTCCCGTGTGATCCTGCGCATGCTGCCGGTCAGCGGCACGTGTAAAGCGTTTCCCGAGGACATGGAGAAGTTTCTGAGCGTGTTTCTGGAGCGCTGGTTCAGAGCGCCGCTGCGTGCCACCTACCAGA